ATATGCGTTTTTGCTGGCTGTAGCAGCACTATAGCGCTGCACAGCAAAAACGCATAAAAACGCATAATCAGAAGCAGTGCACGGCTGCTCATTGTTGCACTGCCTCAGATCTGGCCTTTTAACAGATTTCATTCTAATTCAGTAATAGCGTCCCCGCCGAAAAGATCAAGAATCTCAGCCCTAGAATATTTTGGTAAAGAATTTCTGTATAAATTAGTTCACTATTCACTTAGTAGAAGTATCAAATAAATTTCAGTAAACAACTTATCATGCACAGAAAACAAAAGGTGCGATGCGCGACTTAGCAAAAATTACAAGTAGGCAGAGCAAGAAATGGGTTGCTCGATGCATGACTATTTTCTAAGTTACCAAGGCTTTGCTCTGAAAGTTGGAGCAGGTGATCCATATGCTTACTTTGACAATTTGGTCATCTGTACTTTCTGTTTTAGCTGTTTTACGATGCTAGGAGCTTTTTTAGTTGCATTAACAAATGTAGCGTTGCATTTTTCGCTTTTCCAGAAATGTTTGTCAAAATCCTTCAGGAATATCTCAATAAATCTCTTCATTTTGGCGAGGTTAATCCGTTTCAAGGTATTTTTGGCGTGTTCTACACCGCCACTTGGTTTTAAACGTTATCATTTCTAGGCCACGGTGTCATACCTTGTTAAGCAATATATATCGCAAAGTATATAAAAGGTTGTTTACGTACCGTATTTCTGAAGCTGATGGTACCAATTCAAAATCGGCCGCGTCATTTTCCGTTTGAAGAGTATCTGCTTCGATCACTTCAATTGTTGATTCTTTTACTTTTCTGCTCCATATTTCATTTTCGGCCTCTTCTTTCAGCTGATCCGATTTATCACTCCTCATTCGAGTTTCAACCCGCGATAACTCACGTGCGTACTAAAACATATTGAGGATACAAAATAATTTTTATGCGTTTTTGCTATGCAGCGCTATAGCGCTGCTAGAGCCAGCAAAAACGCATATTGTCGAGAGGCTGTGTGTGTGTGTGTGTGTGT